TCGGGACTTCGAGTTTCGGAGCTGGGGGTTCAGGGCTTGGAAGTTTAATCTAGTTCAGCGACTTTGCTACTTTTAAATGAGGAATGTGGGAGTTTCCGAAAATAGGGTTTTGAGAATAGTTTAAGGCTGAGGGCCGGATTGACTTGAAGCCGCACGAGCATCCACACACTTGAGCAAGGGCAAAAGAGCTTGAAAACGAGGCCGCGGGAGACCTGTTCCAAGGCTAAGGAGCACTGCTATGCTATGCTCTCTCTCTCTCTCTCTCTCTCTCTCTCTCTCTCTCTCTCTCTCATATATATATATATATATGTATATGTTTACATATCCTCGACATTTTGCCTTAGTGCTTGGGTAAGTTCAACATGCAGCCCCCTAAGCCCTGGCCTGGCCTTGGCCAGACATCACACCCCAAAATAGTAATATAAAGAACCCTCATAAAGGCCCAAGGCTTCTTAATCAGGGTCCTGTATACCCTGATCATAGATCCCTTGTAGTAACCCTTATAGACCAACCTGCCCCGCTTACTAAACCCACCCCTAAACCCTAATCCGAAACAGTCGCAGAATCGCCAAAAGCCTGAAGACCAAGATCCTGGTGCGTTCCGTTTAGGGCTGCCCTAAACCCTAAACTCTAATGATGGTTCCATCCATCTTCATGTGCTGCGTTCAATCTTCTTGTGGGTGATACCTGCAAAGGAACCCTTGCCCCTGAGAACGCAATCCTGCTTTGAACAGCCTGACGCCTGCACCTCACTATGTACATGAACCAATTTTGTATTAGCCTGCCGTTGTGTATGTATGTGTGTCTGTGTCTGTTGTAATGTGCGAGTGAAAACCTCGGTGTTATTGATGTGCTTGCGTTTGCAATACAACCCCTTCGCAATGCATGTGTGCATGCTCTTATATATACATATATATATATATATATATATAAATAAACATACCCGTCTGTTTGCGTGTTCATGTCTATGTATGGACATATTTTCGCCATGGAAAACAGTATTAAACAAAACTGGACACGGGCCCTTACATCTGGAAACCTGTTGAAAGCCACGTGACCGCCCGAGAAACCCCTTGCAAGATCCAAAACCCAAAAGCGTACGGTTTAGGGTTTAGGGCCCCTAACCAAACAGCTAAAACAGCTCTAAGACTGAGTTTCTAGTCCCTAAACCCTCAACCCTAAACTCCCCCCAAAAAACTCACAAACACAAACTTAAACCCTAAACCCCAAACCCCAAATCCTAAAGTCCAAATATAGGGGCCTTGACAATTACCTTGCTTCCTTGTTGCGGTTACAGTAAAATGGGACCCAATGCCTATTCTAATTATTAAGGCCGTTATATGGGTGGTTGTCAAAATTAGGGTCCATTTTTAGGTAGCCCAAATATTAGGTGCCATATTATATTAAGGACCCAAAAAGGGACCCTAATTTTGACAACTACCTATATGAAGCGTCAAGCTGCACTTCTTATCCCGCCAGGCGATGGCTTCACAGCGCGTCGCGGTTGTTTGCGAATTAGGCGTGCGACGTGCAGAAAGGGCGAGACGCCTAAGAGCTTAAAGGAGCCCTTGTATGTAGGTCACAGATCCTCTAAAGGAACCTCTACATCCCTTCAAGGAGCCCTTATAGATCCCCATAGTTCTCTTAGAGGAGCCCTTAAGATTGGTCGGTTTAGGCTTTATGCTCGGCAAGTTCAAGACAACCCTGAAGAACTTTGAACCAAACCTTGAAGCCCCTCTGAATCCTAAACCCCGAACCCTAAACCCCTAAACCCCTTAACCCCTAAATCCCTAAACCCTATAAACCCCTAAACCCTAAACCCCTAAATCCCTAAACCCCTAAATCCCTAAACCCCTTATTAAACCCCTAAATCCCTAAACCCTACACCCTAAACCCAAAAATCCATAAACCCCTAAACCATCCCTAAACCCTAAACCCCCGGCTAAACTCAAATGATTCAAGCTTCCTGGCTTCCGGGCAAACGCATCTGGCTATGGGACTCTACAGACTGCAGCCCGAAACTAGGGGGGAGAGGCTTTCTCTGTCTAGTTCTTACGACGGAATTGGGGAATGGGTTCTAGGGACTATTATTGGGGATTACATAAGGGATACTTAAAGGGATCCATTCCCCCATTCCCTACGAAGCACCCGACAGTTCTGTCGGTGGATGAGGTCTAGGGCTTCGCCGGACTTTAGGGTTGATTGTTCAGGGTTTAGGCTTTGAGGCTTATGAAGGGTTCGGGGTATACACACCCTAAACCCTAAGCTTGAAACCCTAAACTCCCTAAACCCTAAAATCCTAAAACCCTAAACCTGAAACCCTAAAACCCTAAAATCCCTAAACCTAAAACCCTAAAAACCCTAAAATACTTAACATCTCTAACATTTAGAATCCCTAAAAACCCTTTACCCCTAAACCTAAAATCCCGAAACCCTCATACTAAAACCCTAAACGAGAGGCAGTCGGCCCACGGTCAAGCTGGGCCAAGAGTCTTTACAGATGCGCAGGGACCCATTGACAGCAACACCCACGAGGGCCACAGGCTCTTTGGGGCTCGGGGTTTAGGGATTTTAGGGAATTTAGGGTTCAGGGATGAGGGTTTAGGGTTTAGGTTTAATGAAAGTTTAGTGGTGGGACATATGGGGTTTAAGGGCTTCGGGCTTCCGGTGTCAGCGCATTTCTTGTTTAGGGACGACCTTAAGCCTGAATAACCTACCCTTTTAGAGTTCCTTTTTTTAAACTCCTTATATAAGTCCAGAAAAGGGCAGGTTATTCAGGGTTAAGGGAGGGCTTAGGATTCAGAGCTTGAGGGTTGGGGTGGGGGCCCAATTATTTTCTACCAGGCTCGATCTTGCCGATCAGATCAGAACAGAATGTCGTGCTTCAGCTACTTTCGGTGTTTGGGTTTTTGAGGGTGTGAGGGTGTGGGTCTGAGGGTCTGGCAGCTAGCTTTTTAGGGTGCTAGGGGCGTAGGAGGGGTGCATTGCTTCCAGGTTGAAGGGGTTTACGGGGCAGAAACAGCAAATGCTAATCCTTCTCACGGAACCTCACCAGGGCTAGCACATGGCTAGTTGTCAGAATTAGGGTCCCATTTTGGGTCCTTATTATATTACGGCAGCTGATATTTAGGGTACCCAAACAGGGACCATAATTTTGACAACCACCCACATGCATGCTTATGTCAACACTTCCGAGCCTAGGCAGAACGGCTCAAGGTCGGACCCACAAGTCACAAGAGGTCCAAAAATGATCTCTTTCTGCTTTCTTCGCAGAACGAGCGAAATCACAGGCGCATGGGAAAGGAACTTACGGAGGATAAAACCAGCAAGTGGAGACACAGGGAAGGACAGCGCAAAAAACACCAACAACTCAGAGAATTAAACAAACAAGTCGAAAACCCCAAACCTTCAACCAAACCTAAACTTTTAACAGTATGTCCGAGACCTGCCGCGATATGCAGTGTAACTTTAGTGCTTAGGGGATTCCGCTCGAAGAACGGATTCAAACGCCGGCTCCGGAGTTTTTTCTCCTCTGCAAAGCCCCAACAGCAGCTTGTTCCTACCCTACCTGGGGATCCAAAAACCTACCGTTTTAAAGGTTCTACCCGCTACTTAAGTGGTCATAACCTACTATTTGTAGGGTTTGGGGTCACAGGTAAACCCTAAACCCGTTTATGGCGCAGCAGGTGCTTGGCTGATGTTGCCCCGGGTCACAGCACTCTTGGCCGCAGTCGAAGATAATTTGGCAAACCGCTGCAGAAGGCGTGCACTGAAGAACTGTCGCTCGCTCATCTTAGTTGCTGAGTTCAAAAGATCTAAAAAAATACATCACCTTCTAAGGGGGTTTCATTACACCAAAAAAGTTGAAAGTCTGCTAATTCGGACGGAGAATATGAATAAGATCACCTCATTAAACAGCTGAGTATAGGTCTGGAGGGCTCCACTACTTCTCCTGCTACAACCCCGTACGGGTCCATGTGCCCAAACAGTACATACTTTGGTCGCCCCAAAGCACCTATATGGGGGACTACTTTAAGGCCAATGTATATACTACTTGGGCACATGGACCCTTAGGGACTATGCTACAACTGTGGCTTAGACGACGACAACATGTGATGCAATGGACGTAAAAATTAGAATAGGGTTTTTGGGGTCGGTATATTCTACTACAATCATGATTAAGGAACCCTAAAATAGTCTTGGCATGAGAGTTTTAGGCTTTCTCGCTTTCGGGATTGGGCTACTGTTTCCCTGGAATTGTTCTACAGAAGACCATAAACTACTGGGTTCAAAAGGCTTGGAGTCCCGGATTTTGTGATGTAGGTTTTACGGTTGCTAGTTGTGGATTTTGTTGGGGTTTGGATTCAGCGTTCTGCACGTTGGATTTGGGCTGTGGCTATGTTTGTGATGTTTTGGAGGTTATGCGAAGTCATGTGCTAATCTTCTTTGGATTTAGGTCTTGGAGGGTGGTTTCGGGATATTTCAGTCCTCGAACCCAGACTGTGCAATGATAATCAGAACGATAAGGTTCATATCGTAGAAAAAATCAACATAGCAGAGATCATTTTCAAGCTCCTAAACCCAAAGCGCGCCTGGTCGGACGTTTCAGCGGTAGATCCTTGACTCATGGCTAGACTTACTGCTCATCAGCTCCATGGCCCAAGAATTACTTTTTGCGTGTTCAAGGTCTCGGGTCCAGAACCGAACACCCTAAAACCCTAAACCCACCCTCGAAGTTGAAACCTTTTGCGTTGCTTTCAAGGGTTTCTATCTTTTCCTTTGCTCAGGGTTAGAGGTTAGGGTCTAGAGGGATTAGGAGCATTCAGGGCAGTTCTCGAGGGCGGCCTCTGCCCGAATGGACACGGCAGCTTCTGTGCCTCGTGGAGTATCTCGATTGGAACCTGATGTCCTACCATTTTAGGGTTTAGGGTTTAGCCAGGGCCATACCCTCAACCCGAAACTCCACGCTCATAAAACGGGAGCTCTATACGCTTCTGTGCCTACTGCCATACCAGCGGAAGTGTCAGAAGAGCGGCGAAGAACGCTGAGCCTGGGCGGTTTGAAGATATTCATTGAGGGCTGAGCGCCTAAGGGTTAAGAGCTTCGGCACTGCTAGCAAGATGTAGAGCCCATATGTATGTATATATACATACATATAACCCTAAACCCTAATACATACATATATATATATATACACATCCCTACACCCTAAAAAATGTATGTGTATATATATATATATACATATATATATATATATATATGTATGTATGTGTATATATATATATATGTATATGTATGTGTATGTGTGTATATACATATATATATATATATATATATATATAAGCCTAAACCCTAAACCCACGAATCCTAGCGGTCCGAGCAGAGTCGGGTTCATTGGCTCGGAGGCTCTGGTCTTAGCTCTGAGGACGATCCAGGAAGAGGAGAAACAAGAATGGCAAGTAGGGTTTAGCAGGGGTTTAGGGTTTAGGGTTTTAGGGGTTGTAGGGTATACCTGGGGCCGAAAAGACCTACCTTTCGAAGGAACTATATGGAAATCCTAGAATAAGGAACCCCGAAAAGGAAGGTCTTTTCGGCTACAGGTAGGGCTTAGGGTTTCGGGTTCAGGGCTTTGGGTTTGGGGCTTTAGGGTTTAAACGATTCTCCGCTATAGGGCTTCGGGTGGCAAGACCATCACCATCATAGCTGTTGCAGAAAGCTCCCGGCAAAGGCTGCTGATGGTACTCATACCAACATCAAGAGCGCAGCTATAACCAACCCCACTACGACTACCGATGCGTTTGTCTTGTCCAACTCTTGTTCAGCTCCTGTCACAAGCACGAACAATGGACAGAATCAAAGCAGGAGAAACACCAATAATGACAACGCAACCAGCACAATATTGCTAGTCAAGAAGATATTGACAACAACACTGGTAGTCATGGTACTGATAGCAGCTGATAACAGCAGCAACAGCAGCAGCAGGGGCAGTAGCAGTACCATTTGTACCAGTATTGGTTGTCGTAGTAGTAGTAGTAGTAGTAGTAGTAGTAGTAGTAGTAGTAGTAGTAGTAGTAGTAGTAGTAGTACTCGGATTTCTGTGGTCAAACATCAGACTCCAAACCAAACCGCCACCAAAACAAGACCCAAGCCTTATGTTAATGCCGATGCCCTATTACCAACCTAATTCTGTGATAATGATGATGATAGTGATCCTCAACCATGGGGCCCTTGGAGGACAAAGGTGCAGTAATGGCAGGTCTACCTTAAAACTCGAAGAACATTGACACGAACCTCCAACGGGACCATGAAGGAACCGTTACATTCAACCCCAACAGGAAGGCCTTGCATAAGGGCCTTATTGCTTTCAGTAGGGATTCGAATACAGTATACTGTACTTGTAGTAAGGCACCCCAAACATGTTTTTTTGTTGGTAAACAATACAAACAATTCTGTTTATTCTTTAACAACTGTGTACATGTTTGGGTTTGAATGTGTATAACTGGCAATAAAAACTTAGGCCACCATGCTTGATTGACTAGAACGGCCGCCTCGGTGGCTTGCGCTGGTGATCCTCGCAGGACCGCCGTAGCCGTCGCAGTACTGGCACGCGCTCCTGCCGGTAGGTTGGGGTTTAGGACTGAGGGTGTAGGTTGTTTCAGAGGCTTCGGGCTCAGGGTTTACGATTTGGGGTTTGGTGTTGAGGCTGCGGGGTGTGAGAGTGAAATCGCTTGAGAGGCGTATGAGGTTTAAATATTTCGGGCAGGGGCTTTGGGGCTGAGAGTCCTCAAAGAGCCGAGTGACGTCACAGGACTCACTGGGTTGTAAGGAATGGCTGGAGACTGCGGCACCTTCTTACCGCAGAATCTCTACCTTACTGAAAAAAAACATGCCGTCCATATGTCTACATCTAAACCACAAACAACACGGGCATTCAGCATCCCGCCCTGAACCCCATGTCCCGAAGCATAGAAGCCCTACAGGCCCTATAAACCCTTGTGCCGCCCTCAGCCTCGACCTTCAACATGGGGCTCTTACTCAATACTTTTAATCAGGTTTTGGGAAAGATTATACTGTAATTATAAGGAGCCCCAACAATAGTTTAATTAGGATAGAGCTCAGAGCAACCGGGGGAGGAATCCTGGTGGTGCATGTGCAAACGCCGCAGCTGACCTGGCCGTTGTTCATATTGCCCTTCTGCAAGGGTTCTCTTACCATGTGTGTAGGGGGCGTAGCACACATTGGCGAACCCTTTCTGTAGTAGAGTAGGTCTTGAAGGACTTGTAGGTCTCGATTGGCTCAGAGTGTCGTTTCCTCCTGGGATCCTCCTGAAACCCAGAACTCTAGAGTCTAAACTACCCTAAAGCCCAAACCCTAAGCCCTGCCGAAACCTGAACCCCGCTAGACTCCTTAACCCTAAACCCCGCCTAAATCCTAAGCCCTTACTTAAACCCTTAAACCCTAAACCCCCACATCCTTAAACCCTAAAGCCCTAAACCCTAAACCCTGACTGTGCTTGGGTTGAGGTCGGCCCCAACCTGCTTGCTTTCTCAGATCAAAGACTATAGGCTCCTTTACAGAGGTCCTTATGCTAATGCTCGTGTTCAGGGCTTGGGTTTAGGGTGTAGGGTGGATTTAGAGTTTAGGGTTTAATTCGGTTTCAGCGTTTAGGGTTAAGGGCTTGAAGTTTAGGGTTCAGGGCTTGGGGCTCTCGGTTTGGGGGGCCTCGACCGTACCTATAGTCTCTCCATTGTAGTTCCTTTGTTTGGTTAACCAGAATCTCCATTATAGGATCCTAACCAGAAAACTGGTTAACCAAAAAGAGGAACTGCAATGGAGACTATAGGAATAACTTTCAAGGTCCGACTCTCATGGGTTCTACGTGGTTTGTCAGACGTGCCCCGGCATCTCACCTTCCCAATGTTACCCCAACAGGTCCGAATAGTAGAATGTAGGGTTGCTGTATTAGGAATCATTTATATGATTTGGAAGAGTATCCCCGGTATACGTACGTTTAGGGGTTTAGGGTTACGGGGTTTAGGGTTTGGGGGTTTAGGGTTACGGGGGTGGGCGACGTTGGATTAGAAGATGACTGGTTGTTCGGAATTGCGCTCTGACGGCCTCCGTTGCACCTTGCATGGATTTCCTGGGTTTGGGCCGGAACCCTGGGCTTTTGACCAGACACCCGGCCCTGAAACCCTCAACCCTAAAACCCTAAACCCCTAACCCTAAACAGGATTGAGTGCCTAGTGACGTAGACTTCAGGGCTACATGCACATAAGGTTCCTAAAGGCCTGGAGTTGTTCGAGCCTCATATCTGCTTCAGAACAACTGTTTCACCGTTCATGGTTTGGGGTTTATATAGCCCTTTGTAGAACCATATTGTAAGAACTCGTGTCGAAGCCCTCTACAACCCAGGCACAGAAACACGCTCAAGCAGAACAGCTGCACCAAAAGCATGACCCTGGCAACGGCCTGCCCGTCCAAAAAAAAAATGAACCCTAACTGACCCTAGATCACGCTGCCGGAGCCACCAAGTTTGATGGGCACCAGTTGCCGCTGCTGTAGCCTCTTGGAAATCCCTCTCAAAGGCTACGGGTCTGGGCTGAGAATTGAAAGTTACAGCTTGGGTTTTATGCGGTAAGTGTCTGAACCTTGAACCCCATACTGAAACTGAACACGGAAGCCTGATCCAGGCTGAGAACGCACTTGACTCCGAGCCCACACCGACTGCTGACGGCGAGGATGGTAGTACCGTTGCATTTCTCTGACACCCCGAAACATCCGAAGCCAAACAACAAGGAATACTTGCACCTGTATCCCTCTAACACGGAGACATCTAATTCTAAGACATACTAAGCGAACTGAATCAATCAACAACTGTACTCTAAATACAAGAACCAACCGAACTCTGCAACCTAGCACCTTTCAACCCTTGAACCCGACACTTTCAAACCCTAAACCCTGCAACCGCAGAGCCTAACTTCACACCTGAGAACGCGTGCGGAGTTTTAGGGGGTTTGGCGATTGCTCACTTAGTCGGGATCGCAGTTTTGGGATTTAAGTAGTTGACGAACTGTGACTGTTCTATCAAGGTTACAAGTGAAATCCACCTAGCTTAGGGCTCGCATATGCTGATCCCTGCGAGAATTCCTGAGGGTTCAACTCTAAACCCGAAGCCCTAAACCCTAAACCCCTAAACCCCCCTAAGCCCGAAACCCGGGAGGCTCGTTTGCTAATGTCCGAGACGCCTGAGTTTGCCGGCGCAGGGCTGCCACCTGTGAGCGGCTACACCCTAAAAAGCCGTAAGGTTTAGAGTTTAGGGTTTAGGGGTTTAGGGTTTAGGGTCCCTAAACCCCTAAACCCCCAAACCCTTAAACCCGAAACCACCAAAACCCCTAAACCCCCAAACCCTAAACCCGTAAACCCGAAGCCACCAAACCCCTAAACCCCATAACGGGTTCAGGTTCCTGGGTTTGTCGATCCAAAGTTTGGGATTTAGCGTTGGGTCTACCCAGGGGCCCCAAAGTAGTTCCTTTTTGGGTGGTATATTAGAGTCCCTAACCAAAAAAGAGGACACACCCAAAAAGGAACTACTTTGGGTCTAGCCTGATTAAGAAACCTTGGGCCTTTATTTGGGTTCCTTGTATGAATCCTACTAATTTGGGGTTATAGGCCCAGGGTTTCTTAATCAGGTTCCTACATTAGAAGCTTTGAGGGAGAGGGTTCTAGATCTGGGATTGTGACTCTACCTTAACCGACCGAAACCTACTTTTTTGTAGGGTTCCGATAAATCCCTTATTAGGGTTTATACTAAGAACCTACAAAAAAGTAGGTTATGGTCCATGGTAGTTTAAGGTAAAGCTAGACGCTCATGGTTTAGGGTGGACGTGTTTCCGCAGCAGGGTGGGGCTGAGGAGTACTACCAGTGCCATCACCCGAAGATTCCCGCCAAGGGGACCGATGATCGACTGGCAAACTGAAAATGCAAGCCTAAGCTTTAGGCTTTACAGCTGCGGTCAAAACCCTAAACCCTAAACCCTAAACAAACCCTAAATAAACCCTAAACCCTAAACCCTAAATAAACCCTAAATAAACCCTAAACCCTAAACCCTAAATAAACCCTAAACCCTAAACCCTAAATAAACCCTATAAACCCTAAACCCTGAAGCGCTGCCACCTCCTGGGCTCAAGAAGTAATTGAAGTTCCTCCCCCTAGCCTCGCGCACACTAACTCCGGGTGGCTGCGTGTCGATCGTATCCCCACGTATTACGTGGCGACCGCAGGGGAAGGCACAGGCTCACTTTGGAAGCAAAGAGCTGACGCTGTGGGGTTTAGGGCTTCGCTAGAAGCCCAGTTTCAGGTTAGGGTTTAGGGCTTCTAGGGTTTAGGGTTTATAGGGTTTAGGGTTTATAGGGTTTAGGGTTTATAGGGTCATGTATTTAGGGGCAGCAACGTCATATGCAGATGACCGGGGCATCCTAGCCGAAGCCGCCCTAAGCCCCAAGGGTCCTCAGCACGCAGGAGGGACTCAAATGTCAGATCTCCAGGCTTCATCGTTCCCGTACCGGGAAGTCGAAGCGGAAACAGAACTGGCCACCGCAACAGTTGGCGTGCAGTCAGAACCTTGCACAAAAATCAGCCCTAAACGGGCCCGAAATGCAGCAGTATCCTTAACTCTAAACCCCAGAACCCCAACAATATCCTAAACTCTAAATCCTAGGCCCCCAAACGTAAACCTAAAAACGGCCCTAAACTCCGTGTCTTGAAAGGTAACAGGAAAGGCAGCCCTCCGGATCACTCTCAGAGTGCTCACCACCAGACCGAGTCCTTCTTCAGAGCTCAGGTTTTGGGCTTAGGGTTTAGGGTTTAGGGCCTTTTGTTTGAGGGAGGGGGTTTGGGCTTCAGGGTTGGCTTGAGTTTAGTGTTTAGGGTGTAGGGTCAGGACACGGTTTCCACGTGGGCCCTACCAAAACCTCTGCATCGTGTTCGTAAAAACATGGTCCAGTTAAGCCTTGTACAGAGAAATATAGAACAACTGAAAGGCCTAATGTAGGGGCCTTCATAATTAGAATAGGGTTTTGGGCTTCTTGTACTACTGGAATGCGGAACCCTAGAATAGTACTGGTAACGATTTAGGCCCACCTATTTTGATGGGGCTCAAAAGTGCGTGATCGGCTTGTCTGAGTTTCAGCCTTGAAAGGGGTCGAGGGATAGCTGTTAAGCCTCGGCCCTTGTTCAAGAACTTAAGACAGGAACTTATCACGAACATAGCAGAGCAAGGACACCAACTTACTTTAAGCCCTCACAGTGGTAAATTGTATTGACCTCCCGGACATTGAACCAGTCTTTAGGCTTTACTAGGATGCCTAGTAACCTAGGCTCGCTTTTTGGTATTGGGTAACTATATAAGCAACCTAGGACTACAAAAAAGGAAACATGGCCCACTGGGAGGCCCAGTTAAGACTAGGGCACAGTCAGGAACATGACATTCGAAAATGCTTGATATGCAATGTCTAGTGTGTTGCTCACGTGCCAGGGCTGTGCATTCGTGGTGTCAAGTAATAGCAGCCCTATAAATGAGCTGCAATCGATCCTAAACCCTAAACATCAAAGCTCGCTAGAATTACATCAGGAGGATTCCACAAAGCCGGAGCTCTGCGCCCCCTATTCTCTCTGAACCACCTTGACGTCTGCACATCACCACTGCACGGCTGACACTTTGTTTGGGGCCTTTAGGGTTTTGCGTTTTGGATTTCGGGGTTTGGGCTCGGCTCGGTTGTAGTCTTAACCCCAAGTCCCAAATCCTGGAGCCATGTTTCCAGCTTTGACACCAAACCCAGAGGGTCCATATAAACTACCATTATGGAAATGGGAGTTTCCGAAAACAGGGGACCGTAAAAATAGTACCCTAAGTAGTGGGATCCTTATTCTCAGGACCCCAAAATAAGGTACCCCCCAACCCTAAACCCTGAACCCCCCCTTAAAACAAAAAAAAACATTCAGAAACTCCGAAATAGGTCCCAGTAGACCATCCTCATCCTGGTTTTGTGGGGACAAGATCGATCGACCCTCTAGGTTTATACAGCGGCCTTAATGGTTAGAATAGGGTTTGGGGGCCCATTTTACTATAGTCATAAACAGGAACTCCTAAAATAGTATAAGTAATTACTAATAAGGCCCCCAAATTGTGCTTCTCCTTCACTCCACCAGAGGCTGCTGCACAGGAGGTAGGCCACTCTTCGTGTTGGCATCCTCTGAGAGACACTATGAGCGGGTGTTTCTGTTGCTTACAAACCACCTAACCCAGTATGGCCTGAAGAATTACCATACTACCGTTGATGATATAAATCCTGCATCACCCATAATAAGGAATATACCATTATTCCCATAGTTTAGGGTCCTTAAGGTAATGCAGGATTTATACCATCAACCGTAGTTTGAAAGATTATAGTCACAGCAAAAGTAAGCCCCCAAACCCTATTCTGATCCCTTTTTTGGCTCATCTGTCCGAACTAGCAGATCCTTGCTAAGAACCCCGATTTTTTATTGCACAACTAGCTCAAACAACGGGAGCTGATGGGATCCATGCAGACAAGCAGTTTGCAAGTGGCCTTTAATCGAGCCCTTCTGGTCGTTACTAGTGTGTATTTCGGGTATGTTGCCGGGTCTAGGAAGAACCCCGCCGACACTTGGTTTAAGATTTTGGGTTCAAACCCAAGCTCAGGGGATTAGGATTAGGAGTTTGGGGCCTTGGGCCAGTTTGGCTTTGGGGTTTGGCTTAGGGCTGAGAGTTTAAAGCTTACGGTTGGTTGGGGGCCTCTACGCTTCGTGCTTTAGCCGCTTTTTGATAAAGGGAAGCATTCATGAGTTCCCTCCCCCGAAAAACTACCTTTCCGATACCATAGGAGGTTAATCACTCCCAAAAGGCTGCCGAGTGTAGGGGCCTTACTAATTAGAATAGGGTTTTGGGGTATATGATACTACAGTTACAGTAGGGAGCCCCCCAATATACTATTGAAGTTCTCATTTAAGCCCTAATAGTACCCAGCTCCTCAGCTTCAACACCCCAGTTCAACTGCTGAGGTCTCTTGGCTATTGGGCTTAGGATTTTTGGCAGTCGTGGCGACAGTCAGTCGTCACTTGCCAACAGGGTTCTGGCTGCAACGAAGCTCATATTGCTGAGCACTTGCGGAGCAATCAACACGGTGGCCAAGTCCACTCTGCGAATTGGGCTTACTGGGATGCTGATACTTCTGAAGGCCAAACACCCACAAGCCGCAATGGCTCCAACGCTACTCAAACAGGCAGAGGCCACTGTTCTGCGGATGCCCGAAACCCAGAATCCCAAACTCTGAACCGTAATTTCGGCGGTAGGTCCTTGACGCGGTACTCCTGAAGTTCGTGGACGTCTGCCGCTTGGTACCACTCTGTCAGAATGATGGCTGTGAAAATGCACATTGAGAAAGAGCCGTCGAACATGTCCTCTGAAGGGTTCAGGGCTTTGAGTGGTCGGGTTTAGTTCCTGTGGGGTTTAGGGTTTATGGGCTTCTGCGCCTGAAGTTTGCTAGAGGATTAGGGCTGCAGTGTTTACCAGCCAAAACTTACTCCAACCAGCGCTTCTGTCCGTTGCTATGACAACGATACTGTGCTTCCAGTTTGTCAACCGTCTTACACGAGCATTCGCAAGCAAGTTGTGCCAGAGCTCGGTAATGTCGACCCCTGATTAAGAAACCTCTCTCCCTGAAACAAAGATCAACAGTAGGGACCCTGACGTTTATGCCTCCGAAGACTATGCGTCTTTCAATCTGCGGTCTACAGTACTCTATAGGCTTTCTGCGAACTATTTTGGGACAGCTCTCTGGACCCAACGACAAGAAAGTCTGACTGCTAACAGAAACCATAATGGTCCCGATATAGCATATACCCCACATCCTCGTATAGGGGCCCTTACACACAGGATGGAGTTTTGGGGTATAGTATGCTCTAACTATAGTAAAGAATCCCGCCGAAGAGCATTGGTTTGATTTAAGCCATTTTAGACCCTATATTTATCGTGTTCTCGAGGGCGCTATGTTGTATCCTCCGAAGCTCACCAGGCTTAGCGCCTTATCTTACCTTCTTGTGTCCTTCATAATTAGAACCCGCAACCCTAAACGCTACACCTTCAGCCCTAAACTCTACTAAGTATTAAACCGTAAGCCCTCAACCCTGAACCCTAAACCCTCAAACCCCTAAACACCTAAACCCCAAAGCCCTAAATCCTGAACCCTAAAC